CACATAGTATAACTCTTCGTGAATAATTGTGTTTTTTTATAGTTAAAATTTAATCCACTTCTCAAAATATTTATACATGTATTACAGGTTTTTCTCAAAAATCTAACGAATGTTATGAAAAATTTTTCATGAAATTACACATTACAAATTCTTAAAGTGTATACATTAAATAAATATAAAGCAAAGAATTAAGTTTTCTTGACGACGAATTATTTATCTATTAACTTATTTATATTGGTCTTATATTTTTTCGAAAATTAGTGACAGATGATTAAGTCAATTAACCTATAATTTGTTTTGGGTATTACGTTGATACAGTTTCTTTTTGTTAAACATTTGTGCATTTATTATATTAACTGTCGTTTTAAAAATCAGTTTTGCATCGAAATTCAGACGTAGTTTTCAATCATTATTTCTATTAAGCCAGATAAAAAGTTCTTATGCCTTTTAATAAAATGTAACGGAATGTAATAAAGTATAATAAAGATCGAAGATGTAATATGATCTCCGTCATATTTAATAACCATTTTCTACGTCTATCCAAATCGCAAATGCCATTTGTATGAAATTCGTTTGTTTTTCATGTGAATGCATTTTTTAATTTTTTCTTATTGTTGAACGTTACTTTGCTTCGTATGATTTTCAAGATTTCGGAAAAGCTGCTAATCTATTGGAGAATTATTCAGAAAACCTAGAAAACGAGATAAAACTTCTCTATTTCACTGAATAATCGTTCTTTCATTGTACAATTCGATATAAATCGAACGATTAATTTATTGTTAAAACTCAATTCATGAATCCAACTGCTCAATTTTATTCACACATTTTCTGATTATATGGAAATCATCTGAAACAGCTATTCTAAATATTCCCAAATCTGACGTGCATCTATAAAATGTCATCCTTAATCGGCAGTATTTCTGCTTATCGATCGGATTTCATTTTCATTTTCATATTTCACAAAATCAAAAAATAAGACTTACCTACGATTGTTAATTATATTCTCTCTATTTTTGCAGTTTTCGCTTGAGTTTAAATTGGTAAAACAAAATTTTTATTTTCATAGAAATCACATTTAATACGTATCGTATGTTATCTACAATAATAAACTTTAATGGAATGTATAATTTTAAAGCTGAATATATAAAGAATCTATTGATATGCAACAGTAAGGCTTTGAAATGACCGATTTAAAAATGAAAAATGATTTGATAACTAATATTCGCAAATAAATAATAATTCACATTTATTCTTTCGATTTAAAGCTTATTATCGTTTAATTATTTAATTTCATATATTTATATTCTTGTTATGTCGTAGAATTAATTAAAAAAATAATTGTAAAATATAACTGTGTAAGTTTAAATAAATAGCTTTAATTTCATAATTGCCTATTTATTTCAAAATATGTGTTATATAATTCTAAAATTGGCAATCACTAGATACGTCAATAGTACAGGTAATAGTAATGTCTTAAATAAATTTTCTTTCAAGATATTATTTTCCATATATAAAACTGTTCTCACGATCTATTTTAGTACATTTAAATAGTAACTATGCTTTCAAAAAATTGTCATGTATACCGTTTGAACTTCCGTTAGTACTTTCTTGCTAATCGAAAATTATATTTTTTTGTTTTAAAGCGATATTATCTTTGTATACTTGTAAAATGAATTGTACAGGGTGTATCTAGTAACCGGGCCGAGTGATAACTCGGTTGCTATTGAGGATAGAAAAAACATTGTAGAGGAACAACCGAACAATGTGATGAAAAGTGTAAAAACAATGTGTAAGAAAATGTTTCGAATGCAATGGTGGAACATTTGAACATTTACTGTAGATGCTGGAAAAAGGGGTAAATATTTCGAAAAGTATTGTATTTTTCACGATTGTACTCTAATATGTTTTTATTCGGAATAGCACGAGGAATCGATTCATGCAAACAAAATCATAGAGTAGCGTTCAAAAAACAAGTGTAATTGCACTTTACAACTCGACACATTACAGGATGTTACAGCTTGTTAAACCATGCAAAAGTTTCTTCTACAATTCTTTTTCTACCTTCAATAACAATCGAGTTATAACTCGGCCCAGTTACTAGATACACCCTGTACACCTTGCAACGTATATACAGTGACTAGTATATCGGGAAATTGTATCGCAAACATATGTTTGACAAAACATTACTATTATAATTGATGGTTATTAGAGCTGAAAATATTAAATACAAATTTCTTATTTTATCAATTTTGGTGCAATA